GCACAGGAACGTCGTCGAGAAAATCGTTGCCGATGCGAAGAGGCAAAATGCGTCTCACGGTCGCATGTCGATCTCGACAGCGGATATTCTCATCGCCTGGGTCGTCAAGGTGAACCCGCACGCGCAGCCGAGCGAGCCTGCGTCTAACTATGCGCATATAGACTATCTACGAGGAGGAGGAGCTGTACGAGAAGCAGCAAGTTGCGCTCGTTTCGGCGCTGTCCATTCGCTCGACCCTCGCTAAAGTCGACAAGGGTACGTCTGAAGATTGAGACCCAGGTGTCTCCATTTTGATTGACTGGAGTGCAGGAATCGAGTCATGGCCCCACAACGCCGTAACACCGTGCTGCTCGGCGTTGACGACGCAAGCAGCCATTAAGAACGGGCACGTCGCCGACCTCGCATACCTTCATCGCGAGGCAGTCGACGGCGTTCGCACCGTGCCGTATATGCAATCATGGATCCGCCACATTTCGACGCAAGGTCGGCCTAGCGTACCCGCCAGACGGCGCGGCGTCGATGTCTGGACGTTCACGAACCAGGTACTCGCTCGCCCGACGGAGATTGACTTCGGCGTCCCCATCGCAGGCTTCTTCTATTTCTTCTGTCCGCTCCAAATCGACCATACGACTGTGGTGAACAAGGTACGTTCCATCTACGCGATGTTGGAATTTGAGGATGCTGATGCTGCGTTTCACAGTTGAATGGCGGATATATGCTCAATGCCATGCTTCGGGCGAAACGCTGGGAAGCCATCGAGAGAGCCGTCCAACGCTTACAAGTCGAGCATGCGGAGAAGGCGTAATCAGGCGTCGCACAGTCTTGCGGGATGCAAGCAGTCGCGGTGGGGCCGCGATTGCGGACCAGAATGGTAGGATATATCCAACTTCTCCCCGTCTTTAGATGCTAGGGCTACAATGTCCAGTTACACATTCGTTAATCCAGATAGTCGCGGAAAAGATCGCATTTGATGATGTCGCCGCAAACTGGAAGTGTGCAGCGGTAGGCTGCCGTGTTCGGCAGCGGCGTAGTTATCGAGTCGGCAGTCAATGTCTCGGCAGTCCATACAGCAACTCGACCGGGAGTCAGACGACCCAGGGGCGCGATGCTATATGCCTTGACCTCGAGCTTCCATTGCCTCCAGTAGACGGTCGAATTCCTCGTCCTTGTTCGGCGCCATTACAACACGGTCCAGGACGACGTTGTCCTTGCGTACACCGAGTAGACCACGGATAAAGTCGATATCTTCGGGATGAATCACTGTATGATCATCGGGATCCACGCAGGACAAAGTCAAGCGCGACACGTAGTTGCACTCGACCTGGTCAAGCTTGAAACGGTACGAGAAGAACTCGCCCGGGTCAAGGAGTAGAGTGATATGCAGGTCGTCGTTGCCCAGATGACGCGCGAGGACGAGGTTCTGCCAGTTAATCGGGGACAGCGTGATAGACTCTGCTGTCTCGAACGCGCCGTACTTGCGTAGGTCCTCGACGAACAACCAGACTTCGCTGGCCCGCCGTCGGGCCGTTGTCAAATCGCGTTGAAAGCCACGCGCGTTCGTGACCTCGATGCAAAGCTCGCGCATCGTCACGCTATGCACAGGTCCGAACCCTTCGAGAAGCGCATGCACTGTGGCATTCGAGTGCGCGCTGGCTGGATAGGCGATGCTGACGCGCCGTATAGAGCTGATGGCGAGGGCAGATAAACGCAGAATCTGGGCCATCACGGTTTCGTCGATGAGGATGAGGTGGGCGTAGTCAAGCGCGAGGGGTGAGAGGTCGGCAAAATCAGACGGGTGGAACTCGCGGACAAGAGGCGCAGCAAGAGCAAGGGTCCGCAGGTTGGTGCAGGACGCGATGACGTCCTTCAGAACGGAGCCTGCAGTGACGAAGCCTTGCTGCAGGTTTATGGAGACCAGGCGATCAGAAAGGACAGATGCCCAGGTGGCTGGACGGAACCCGAGTAGACGGAGTTCTACTAGACGGGGAGCAGTGATATCGATAGTCACGGCGGCAGAAACTGCTGGTGCAATTGTAAGGCTGAGCACCTCGAGATTTGGTGCATTAAGCGAGGGCACTTGCAGACGCAATGGAAGTACCACGTCATGCTGGTGGAATGTCAACTTCAGGACGCGTAACCGCAACGAATGAGGTTGCAGTTTGTCCAGTGCGCGAGGGAACGGGACGCCAGAAGACGGACGGCGGTGGTTCGCGTCCACGCGGACAAGCAAGGGCCACGAGCCGCTGCGGTCGAGCCGTTGTTGCAGTCTCTCGAGAGTTTTGAAGCCATCAATATGGATGTCGGCCCATAAGGATGAATCTCGCCGCACAACCTCCTGCCAGCGATGGCATACAAGCGACAGGCTCAGGAGCGGGTCCTCGTCCAGAGAATGAGGTATGAAACGAAAGACCATGGAAAGAATCTCGTCCGGAAGCCGACTAAAGCCTGCACAAAGTATGGGTTAGTGTGTACACTTAAATCGACGCATAATAGTGTGCCTACCAGTGCGCGGAAGGAGGGACGACATGCTGGCTGAGTCAGAGTGACGAACGGCGAAATCCGCAACTTGGGTCTGCTCAAATCGCTTGCCAACTAGCCACACAGCCCGATGTCTACCCAAATATCCTCCGACGTGGCGCACGAGCTAGCTCATACTGTCCAGCTAGCCTTCCGCAAGATCGTGATGAGCGCACCCGACGTCACGAAAAGGTTCGGTTAGTCTATGATGAGCTCGACGTTCGTTGAAACGGGCCATGCAGTAATGTAGGATCGCTTACCAAGCTCTACGAGGCGGTCCTTGGCTCTGTACGAGATGCGCTCGTTTCTGAACTACGGGACCAGAGCAACAGACTCTTCCCGCGGTACCGCCTGCCAGACGAACTATGGTGTATGATTTGGCGGCAACTATCCCTCGACGGCCGCATACACGTTTCCCACGTCTGCCATGACTGGCGCACATTAGCGCTATCCTCGCCTGCGCTCTGGTCCGACCTGCACTTCGTTACTTCGCGTCACGATCAGGACTACTGCGACTGCCACGACTGTGAAGATTTTCGTCACCATACCGAGTGCACGAACTGCGACAATGAATGGAGCTCCGGCTCGTCCAATCTGCGAACGATTCTAGAGGTTTTACCTCGGAGTCTTGCGCACCCGCTCTCGTTAACGATTTGTGTGCAACTGCCAGAGGGTTCCGAGCCAGACAGGTCGGAATTAAACACACTCGCTCGTGCTTTGCGCACTCAGATTAATCGACTTCGCACATTGCACTGCGACATATCATTCGAGGAGCCTCTCGCCGATTTCATGTCGCACGTGAAGGTATTCCCAGCACTTACGTCCCTCACCTGCGAAATTTCTTCGGCAGTCGAGGACGGACTTCTGCCGGAAGATTCTTCCTTTCCCTCGCTGCAGACAATGGACCTGCGCGGAGACATACCCATGAACATTGGCATACGTGCCCCTCCCACCGTACGGAACCTTGCATGCGACTATACTTCATCGCTTCAGTTTACCGGCGTTCTCTCCGCATTCCCGCATCTGTCTACTTTGCATGTCCGAATGCGCTCACTCTCCACGGAGTTCTCTGCTGATATTCGCGGACTCGCTAAAACAATAGCATGTGTCACGGTCTCTGATGTGTTTGTGCACGATGCGCAAGCCGTTTTGGACATGTTTGACGAGCCTACTCGCCCAAATTTCACGTTGTGCTGTGCGGAAGGTACCCGCGGTGCCCTTCTAGCCTTTGCTACCCTTCACGAGGGTGTCCATCTTTCGTGCGAGATCCACGAAGGCCACGAAGGCCCTGTACGCCTAATCGCGACGGATGCCCACCAGCGCATGCGCACTCTTTACTGTCACGGGCGTGATGGGCGTAACGTCTGGGATCATCTCTTCCCCACGTCCTTGCATTCCGTCACGCTCGACCTCCGACTTCCGTACGTGACGCTTGCGGATTTCCTGACTCGGACGCCGGACACGCGAGAGCTCGTACTTGTACTCCCCGGACCGAATGATATAGCAGCATTCGTCACACGCGTAACCAACGACAGCTTGCAAAGCACACCAGCGTTCGATGCTCTCCGCTTCAAGTCAAGTCCGGGGCCGCGCGTTGTTGTCTCCGCTGAAATTCTGACAACCATCCTGTGCTGGCTCCAAGCCCCTCTCCCTTTGCGTACCGTCGTGTTTGATTGCGGAGTGATCTATGACGGGGCAGCAGGCGATACCTCGGACGTCGTGGGCGAGATTGTGACAGTGCCATCATAACGTACCTTACTTACTAAGTACAGTACCCAGTGTCCGACTGACTGGCTTTCAGTTTACTGTCTTATGTCTAACTTCCGAAGCTCGACCTCTGTGGCCTTTGATATAAACGAGACGAGCTTTCCCTGCACTCTGATTACAAAACTGAATGGTGGCCCACGATCCTGCAGATCGGACGTGGAAGGCTTCGCCTTCGCAGTTCCTAGAGCGTTACAATCAGGAGAAATGCTATCAAGCCAGACCAACTACGTGAGGAACCTGCGCCTCGAGTGTCCCAACTCACTTGGTGTGTAAAATCTAAGTTTATTCTTCGTCTAGTAGCAATCCGTCGGACTGTTCATGGCCGTACTGCTGTGCAGCGCATCTCCCAGGCCCACGCCCGGCGGATTTAAAGCTCTCAGCAGACTCCAGCGGATCTCATCTCTTCCACTGAGTGCCTACCGACGTAGACTGACTCCTCGACGAGCACTATCGTTCCAACAGGGTGCGGCACATCAGCTCAGATTCGCGTGGTTTGGAAGTGAGAGACTTCGCTGGTTATCGGCTCTTAGGGACAGCCATGTTAGGAGGAAAAGAGAGCTACTGGAGATGGTCAGGCGTTGAAGGCGAACTAGTCTCATTGAAGCAGCTGACAGCGGTGTCGTCGGCTCCGCCATCACATGACATAAGTATATGTCACTGGAGGCGGGTCCGACTCGAATGAAGATGGCGCAAAAGCAGGGGTGAAAGAAAGAAAACTTCCTGGCCGGGAGTCGAACCCGGGTTACGCGCGCGCCTTTGCCTTGAGCAAGGCTAATGACAGGCGCGTGTCTTAGCCGTTGGACCACCAAGAAGATGACTTCAGTCCCTCTTTGCACAATATATCCAAAAGGCCTTTATCTCGCCTCATTGGGACTTGGCAAGTAGATGTACGGTTTGGAAGAGGTCCTTTTTACTACGTTTAGCAATCTTGGACTGGGCGTGCGGCCGGGAGCGCTGGGGGCGCGTGGATCGACTCGGCCGAACACCCTCAGTTGCGACATTGCAGCGATCAAGTACTGCGTTGCATGTACGAAGTGCAGTCATGAGAACTAACTCTTACTTCTGGGAAAATATTTATCTATACAAGGTCCTAACAAACTAATTACTACAAGGGTCCAACGTCTTACTCTAACACAGCTCCCATTTCTGCGTGCCCATGGCCACGAGGCGGTTAAACAGCTCGTCGCGCATCTGCATCGCGGTCAGCGTCCACTTCTTCCCCTCGCGGTCTACAATCTGCAGCGCGTCCGCCACCTCACGCTCCATCGCCCATCCGACGATCAGCTTAGCCTTCCACCCCAATCCACCGACTTTCCGCAACTCGCGCACATCCTCCACTGCGATGCTCCACATCGGCTTGACGTCCTCTCCGTCCGACATCCCCTTGGCAAACGCGACGCAAGGCGTGGTGGACGTTGTGAGAACGTACAGTCGCCCTTTGTCGCCTTTGTACCGCGCGGCAAAGTCGACGGGTCCAAGTGGGGAGTGGACGTGTCGCGGGAGGATCCCGATGCGATTGCGCGCGTGTTCGCCGCCGACAACGGCTTTGAGTCTGTCTGCACCTAGGACGGTCTCGACGCCTGTGCGTGCCGTGGCGCGTAGGAAGCCTAGCATTTTCGAGCCCTTGCGTTTCTTCGGCTTGTCGTCGTCTTCGGAGGGCGGAAGAGGTTTGGTTGCGGCGTCGAGTTCGGCTTGCGTCACATCGAGCGGGATATCGTCAGCGTCGATATGTTCTGGCGGCTCGGATGACGGAGGTGTTGTGGACACTGGCGGCGGAGGGATGGGCATTTTGCGCGCTTCGCCGATGCGTAGGAGCGTAATGGTGAGCTGCGCGTTCGTGGGCACACCGCTGAGGATGGTGTTCCGAATTTCGAGCAGACGCTGCCAGTTCGGGTAGTGCGTGTTGAGCCATGCGATGCCACGCCATATGAGCGGCCAGCCGAAGAAGAATGCGCCGAGGCCGAAGGTCGTGCCCTTCACGAGCATGGCCGAGTTCACGAAGAGCGATACGAGGAACAGCGGTGCGACGACGCCGGCGACTTTGTATTTCGGGAGTTCCTTTGGGAACGGCGGCGTCGGCGACAGTGCACTAGGAACGTTGCATCAGAGTCGAGTCGACGTCTTGCAAAACACAAGTACTCACTTGCCGACGCGCTCCCAGGTGTCACACGCGTCCGCGAGCGCATGCATGATAGGCCGCGTCTGCTGCCACATCGCCTCTTGCATAGGCGCCTTCGTCTTGTCGTGCCGTACGTGCTTCGGGTCACCACCAGCCGCCTGCTGCGCGTCGACCGCGACAGTAGCGATTTCACCCGCGTCTGGGACAGCGTTTTCGAGCACGCCACCTTCGTCCGCATCTGCGCGGGACTCGCTTGCGGAGCTTAGTGCGATGGACGCGAAGCCCGTGACGAAGTTGCTTGCTTCCTGCTCGACGGCCTCGCCTGGATGTTTCTCGGGTGCGCCGGTGAGAGTGTTTTCGCTGCCGAGGGTGCCTGCACGGGGACGTTGGATATGGCCTGTCTGGGTGTTGACAAGCGCAAGAGGCATGGGCGGGAAGAGGAATGATCGGCTCGGATGGTAGAGGATGAGGGTCATGAGCAGTACGAAGAGTAGAGGCATGAGGAGGTCGAAGAACCAGGCGACGAAGTACACCTTCGAGATGTCAGAGAACATATGCGACGGTTGTGAACTGCTTACAACACAGAAGGCAGTCGTTCGTCTCTGTTCGTTCCACGACCGCAACCGGGCAACATGCTTTGCGACGGCCATGAGACCCACAATCTGCGAGAGGAATCAGAACACGCAGCGTTGAACACAAAGCGGCGTACGACTGTCATGTATAGTCTCTCGATGTTGGCGCGCATCTTGTCCGGTGAGAACTCTTCATCGTTTGCGGTGTGCAGGTCGAGATTTCCAGGTACATTATCCACGGCTTTCACGTGGAATAGTTGCTGAACGACCGTCAGCTACGCTCAGCCATTCGGTGAACTACACACCTTGTTGAACCGTCTAACGAGCATCCAAATTTCGTCGTTGGCGACGCCTTCGATGAGCGGCTGCGCCATATTCTCTGGGCGGTCGTTCCAGCCCATGTCGCGCGCCTCGTCTTCGTGCAGCGCGGGCTCGTTATCGGCGGTGTTGGCGAGCGCATGGCTGTCAGTAGGCAGCTCGTCGTTCGTCGTCGTTAAGCTCATTGTGGGGAGTTTGAGTCAAGCTATCAAGACTCGCTCGATGACGCGCAGGTTTAAGTATGAGCGCCATGGTCGCCTCAGCCACAGCGGAGTCGGCTGCTAACCAGGATAGGAGATCTGACGTCAACGGCGATACACCCCGAAGTCCAGCACAAGTCGCCGCTTTCATAAAACAGCAATGGCAGACGGGGGAATAATCCTTGTGCGGCGCGTAGATTCGGTGACACGACGCGATGGTGGATGCAAAGGAAGAGGAGGCGAAGGTCCGCGCGGCAACACCCGCGCCTCGGACTTGTATGCAATGCCATCCATAACCATTTCACACGATATCCACGGGTAACCGTGGGAGATATACAAGCCGTTGTGCTAAGGAACTTGTGGAACGATAGATCCGGAATCGACAGTCGAACGGCGAGTATTATCGAGAGATCAAGTACAATTTCCGAAAGAGACAAAGCGAATGTGCGCCGATGGATAAACTACAGCTCCTTCACAGTATCGGAAACATATTTCTGGGGACTAGCAAATAATAAGCCGCGGGAGACGCCCCTTATGCACGCTTACCCTTCAGTAGCGACGTTGGAGCCCTCAGCCTTGACCTGAAATCTCAATGAGCCAAGTTCACAGTTGCACCAAATTCTCGACTTACGCCCTTCTCAAACTTCCAGACGAGGTACAAGTACGTCTTGCTGCGTCCCTGGTTAATGTCGCCGGACATGGCATCGTAGCCCGTCGGAGGAGAGCTGGTGGCCGAGGCCGGGCGGTACAACGCGATGTCGATGATGCGAGACTTGCCGCCGTACGAAGGGAAGAGGTAGCGGTAGTCTCCGCCTGCGCCAGCAGCGAGGTCCGCCGCCCAGGGGATCTCCTTGTTGCTGATGGTAAGGTCGAAGCCGGTCGCGGCGGCCTCGCTATCTGCAGTCCCGATAGGCCTGAGCCAGACGAAGCTGCAAACGTATCGTCAGATGGAGCATGGGGAGGAATGTGTCGAGCGACTCACTCGCCACCGAACTGGAAGTTCATGTCGTTGCTCTGGCCAGTAATCTCAGACACCGTCCCGGTAGGCTCTTGGTGTGGCTTCGTCCCGTAGATTGTCTGAGATCCCGATTAGCGTTCGAGTACGACGTATGTTCGCGTCGCCGCGCACCTGAATACCGGAGATGTACTGCGAGAAGGCAGGGGCGATTGCGAGAGCAAGTGCGAGGAGAGACTTGATGGCGACCATTATGAAGAGATGGGAGCGACGGATGAGATAGGCAGGCGGCGAGGTGGATCGGATACTGAAGACCTGAGAACTGCAGGACACGAATCTTTATACTCTTCGCCTCCGCATATCCCAGATAGAGATTTCCCACTCCAAGTCAGAGAGATGGCCATTTGTCCCGAGAATTCCAATGCGCCCCGGAAAATCTGACACCGAGCGCTCGCATCTGTGATGCCCGAGCGCCGTGAAGAGCAGGTAATTCCAGCGCTCCTCGCGGACAGCGACCTCGCGCACCGAAAAGCCGAGGCGTCAAGCTCAAGCATCGCCACGAATCGCATGCTGTGCCTGCCTGCGAATCCTGCGAATCCAGTGTACGACCCCGTTTGGGACGAGGTCGCTGCCGGGAGCGAAGATCACCGCCATCGGGGTGCGACTCTGCGAGCTCTCGCCCGCACATGGTCTTCAGCTTAGCGCTGTGAACAATGAGCGCCGAGCGTCAGAATTCTTTGAGGACAAAATCGCTAGACCGCACGCCGAACCGAATAACGAGTACTCCGAGTGTCGAGAAAGCTCAGCCACAATAGAAGCAAGTCAGACGCGCGTCAGAACACGATCCCCAGTTATTCCGAAGACTGCACGATTACGTCCTCTACCAGTTTCTGGGCGTGCCCGAGCTTTGCGGCACGCAACCACATACGACTGAGTTACGCTGTGCGCACCGCCCAGTACGGAGTTGGAGCAGACAGATCAGCCTCTCAGAGAGACATTGCAATCGCGATCCAGCGACCGGCAGTGGGAGGTTGAGCAAGAAGCTGAGAGCGGGAAGCGCCGGTCCGCATTCCGAGTTTGCCCTCGTACCTCACTCTCGAGTCTCAGCTGGAGGCCATTGGTGTACAACAGACTGGTCCCTCGCGCTCTCTAGACACTACTGTGCGGTGTACTACATGGGTGCGCGCCTACAGACGGACGAGTAGTAGGAATATTCGCTGCATTCTGCGGATTTGACGCTGCCAACTCTGACGCGCGTCCGACTCTCGAAGTCCTGTGTCTTCTTCTCGACCCTCGCGCTTCTGTCATAGGCGGTGTCGGGTTGGACTTTTGCAGCTCCCACGACACGCGTTGTTCGCTTCCGCGTTCGCAGAATTTCAGTCTCGGGAAATCTGAGGACCTCTTCGGGCGGTGTTCATCATCTGGCTGTCCAACGCTCACTCCGTGCATCTTGGGGCTCATCGATTCCATTCACCTCAGATCTCGATACTCTCCCATTTCGCCCGAAAATCGGGCAGGATTCGCAGCATGTGCGCTGATTCGGGGACCGATCCTCTGCGTGATGGCTGCAAAGACGCTGAACTTATCGTGCTCTTGGCGTCGGGCATCGCAGATGCGCGCGCTCGGTGTCCTATATCCCGAGAATCTC